CAGGTCCAGATCCAGTAGTTTGGGTATTTTTTTCCCTCTTGATCTATTGTTCTGAATTTCTCCCATGACATCTGAAAATACCTGCCTTCTCATTTCCTGAATGAACCTGTTTGGACATGTAGGACTGGCTGTGAAAGGGCATGAAAGCAGTGCACCGCTGAACAAGCTGGATTGAGCACTAGGATGTACAGAAGCAAACGTCATACAAGGTCATGCAGGTACTTTTAACAATCTCATCCTGGCACAATGCCTGGGACTCACTGATGTCCAGAGGCTGTATTGCCATGCTCTCAACGGCGCCAAAATATCACAGGACAAATCACGTGAAACTACTCTTCAGAAACAAAAACACTTCTAAAGCAAAGAAGATGTCAAATGACTGTGGGATCACACACTCAATTATGGTTTTTTGAGCCAGTGTGCACTGGTAATTCTTGGTCAGGGATTCATGGTGAAGGCAGCAGGAATACTGCTGTGCTTGAAACTGCCAATAACCATACACTGGTGGCATCAAAATCAACACACATTCTAGCAGTGCTTTTGTATTAACCCCTCACTGGACTTAAAAGTGTTGCATTAGATATATTCTGCTGTTCTAATTTGAAAAACATGTATTTTATTACCATTTAAAGACTTTCTATATCATTTTATAGGGCACTATGTAAGCTGGCCTAACATTTTGCAAAAGAGGAATCCTTAAGCCAGAACCACAGTCAGCTTTACAAATGAATTTTCATTTCTTCATAAATTATTCTCTTCCAAGATTAGGAACACACAAGTAAATCACGGAGTCCACTCTGCTGATTTGACACATTTTTCTGAACAGCAAACAAAACCATTTCTCTCTGGAGTCTGAAATATCAACATCCATGCTGGTTACCTTTATCCATGAATCAGAAACCTGAACTTAGTTTGGAAAAAGCACATCCATATTCATGTCTATATCCTTAACACACGTTTAGGTTACAATATTCCCTGTAAATATTGTGTGGCTCTATTTTTAGCTTATACACGTAGGCAATTCAAACTAGCTCATAATTAATCTTAATAAACAAAACATATGAAGAGTGGACAGACTGTGTTTGCGTGTGTGTAACTTGGGTATGTAGCTAAGGAGCTTAACCCCACAGTCACATCATGGGTCAGCAGCACAGAGCTCAGATTGTTCATATTCGAGTTCGCACTGGATCCCACAGATACTTCTAGAATAATTGGTTGTTTATTTAAATGAGTAAAATATTTCCTAAAAAAAATTATTAATGTTTCACATTCTTAGTTCCAGTGCTTCATTTCCCAGCATCACACATGCATGGGTTACACAAACATAGACAGGGCCAGAAAAGCTTACTTCTTTTTGTATTGTCAAGACAGTTTGATTTGTTTCTTCTCCAAGGAACTTGGAAGCCTGTAAGAAGGAAAAGTGCTGGAAAATAAGAATATAACCTTATATGCAGAAGGAAAAAAGAGCAAATAATAATGTTGGCCCTTCAGAGTCACTCCTTCTTGAGTTTGCACTGGATGAATGCTGCAATACAATTTCATCACATTACCACAAGATTTTCTGATTTGGAGTAGGTGTAATGCACTACTGTGCCCACTGAAAAACACTAAAGACTAGCCTCCAGAATGTCCAGGAAAATTCCAGAAAACCCACCAATCTTGCTGCAATTCATAACACCTCCCTACAGTTCTAGGTACTTCAAGTAAAATGTGATCAGGTAGTAATGGCTGAAGATAATTAGATCCAAATAAACTGCTATATTTGGGTTCAACATGGCTGGATCTCTAGGCAGCCATTCCTTCATTGCATTTCTTTTGTTGTTGCTTTGTTTCAGTGTTGCTTTTTGCTTTTGGGGGTATTTTGTTTGGTTGGTTTTTTAGTTCAGACTTTAATTACTATAATAACAGAGTTGTAGGCAAGGATTTATGTGAGGGGTTTTTTTTAAACTTGAACTGGTCAGAGGATTTGTCACTTTCTTTTCTACATCATCAGCTACTCACCACCGGTGGACAGCTTTCTAACTGATTGCAGAAGTCAGTGTATTGATGTCACTACACAGAAATGGTTATCTCACCACGACTCTGCAGAAGGAAAACAGTGCTCTAGACAAAGTAGTATGAGAGCGTATCTCTGTTATCATTTCCACAATGTGTCCGTGCCATTGCTACAAAAAAAAATGATCACATGCTTTGTGTGTTACGAGGGACAACTGCAAAGGGATTAGGATTTGGTGACAGAAGCCTCAGCTTCACCACAAGAAATAAAACTTACCTCAGTCATCACAGACGGCAGAACTAGTAGTTTTAACTAGTTTAACATTTATGTAATGAAGCACATACATACATACATACATCCTGGTACCAGGTCAAGGCCCCCTGAGCTCACTTTTTTCCAAGTATGTAAAGAGACAAATTACCACAGAGGATTTACAGTGTATGTACTGGAGCAGAGACCAAACAAGAGATGCCACAGTGGAACTGAAGGAGCTACCATGGCTTCAGGAAGCCTGCAGCCCCATCTGCTCCATATGGCTTCAAACCCGCAGGGGGTTAATACAAAATCACAGACTCTAGCTCCTCCACAGAGACAAAACTACGGAAGTGACTGTCTGCTCGTGGATATTTTAAACAAAAAAGAAAACATATGGCCTCTGGAGCTATGCTTGCTTTTTCTCCAGCTGGTATGACACAGAGAACAGATAGCCTAGGCCTACAACTAAATGCAAAAGCTTTATTCCAAGGAGCAATTAGGGAACAATTTAGGGAACATGCTTCAATTTTAAAAGTTCTCATATTAGCAAATCAGAGACAAAAACACTGAGAATGCTCATGTATACTAATTAGTAAAAACCTTTAAAAGCACAAAATGTCTTAGCCATTTCTTACCTGTGTGACTAATATTTCTGCAAACTACTAAAGACAATTTAGAATTAAATAATTAAGCCCAGCCTCTTCTGTCACAGATGTTAATTTGTAATTTTACACATACACTAGTAATGAGCAAAAACTGAAACTGAATAATGGGCTTAATTCAGAAGGCTGAAAAGAAAGATCAGTAATTTCATTTATAAAACCATACATTTCTTTAAAAATGTTGCCATGTCAATTAAAGCCACAGTTATAATAAACAGTCAATGGCAGTCATGATGCACGTCTTTAAATTCAAGTCTTGAAACATGCTGATAAATACTTCAGAGTACAAACTCATTTGGTAGTCTGGGCCCAAATGCTGAGCCATCTAGTGTGTGTGCAGACACAGCCCAGTGACTTCTGAACCCCTGCAGGAGTGCCTATGGCTTGTAGGGAGCTGGAGCTGTGCACTGCCCAGGGACAGCAAGGCCAGGAGGGATCTTAAGAAGTCCTCTAGCCCAACCTCTGCCAGAGGATGAACGTGCCTTAAACACTGCCAGTGTATGAAATCTGATTTAACTTTTATATTAAAACTTAAGGAAATTATTTTATAATGTTCTCAGGAAATGTATTGAAGGGCTTTGCAAAGTTACCATCAGGATTATTTTCTCCTAATGCCTAATCTGAAGGTCTTGTCCTATGAATAGGGAATTTGGACAACAAGGTTTGGGGTTCCTTTTTTACTGTCTTCTCTGCAAAAGCTTTTTACAAATGTGAATAGTCCTTTAGTCCTTGCTCCTGCAGACTAAACACACCAAATTCTTTCATGTTTTACACGCAAAATAATGTTGTCTAGCGCTCTCATCATTCTTGTCTCTCTCTCCACCACTGGACTCCTTCCAGTTAGACCCTATCCTCCCTCAAGTGTGGTGCCTGAAACTAGATACAGTACACCAGCTCAGACCTCATTAGAACTTATTAGGCCTAATTAGAGTAAAAGGTTATTTCATGTGAATTTAATGGGGAATGTTTATTTATTCAGTCTAGTATGAAATTTGCTTTTTCACAAAAACATAACATTATTGACCCATGATGAACTTGCCACTCACTGGAATCTGCATGTCCTTTTCTATAGAATTACAACTAGCCTGGTCTCCTCCAATCTCCTTCTGTTAATTACTTCAATTCAAGACTTTATATTTGCCCTTAATGAAGTAAATCCTACTTACGTCATGTAATTTCAGTAATTAATGTAAGTAACTTCTTGTTCTAATCTATTTCTCCAATACAATTTCAGCTTTTATCAGCAATAATTAAAATTAAGTATCTATTGCATAATCCAATTTATTTTATAAAGGATATAAATTAGCATAAAATTGATTTCAGGAAAGGCCTTCTTATTACATCTTCCTAGGTGACAGTGAATTGTTAACAACAACCCTAAGTACAAATCACTCTTGTAGATTATTTTAAACAATGCTTCCTGCATTGGCTATGCAAACACCAAAAGCAGACTTTACCAACAGCCCCTTACCAAAATCACGATGTGTCACCTTTCCAGCTTCCCCATTCACAAGCCAATCACTCTGTGTGAATCACAACACTCTGTCATAGAAGGAACTGTTAGGATTAATCTTTCATTTTCCCTTTTCTCTGATATTATGTGTTAAAAAAAAAAGAACTATTGAATTGAGAAAGACATATACAAACTATTTCTTATACAGGATGAACATTCAAAAAAAAAAAAAAGGCATATTTAACAGAAATGCCTACTTCTTCAAGATACACTCTCTGCATCTAGATTAAGATCCTGAATTAAAATCCAATCACAACTGGCCTCTCTTCTTCTACAGACTGGTGTATTCTGGATCACTCCACTGGTGAATAGAAATTCTTTCCCTATCTGCTACATTTTATTGAAAACACTGCTGTCCAACACACTCAAAGTAGTAGGTCTTTAGCAGTCTATTTTTATGTACAGGTCATGTTATATAGATGATAGAAAAGATTAGTGATGGACACATGCTGGACTAGGTTCTTCAAAGACACTCTGACAAAACCACATTAGGAAACTCTTCAAAGACAGAGAGCCAGACTTCACAAACTTGATGGAGGTCCTGATACAAATCCATTAAATATCACAGCTGTAATAGATTAATCTAAACCACTTTATTTAATTTGTCTTATCTTTAATATTGTACTTGATGTTACAAATAATTTATAATATTTAATTTATAAAATGTTCACATTTCTTTGTAAAACCAACAACAGGTTTAAAGTAAAAAGAGCTTTGTTGCGGCAACAGCTTTGTTTAACTTCAACAAGACTGTAATTTTTTTAAGAGTAGAGAAATGTGTAAACATAAATATTCATTATTTTTTTCTGTACACATCTGTGTAAATTAGTTGATATAAATATAATTTACTATAGAAACATTTTTTTGTTTGTTTATGCTACACACATTTCTATGCTGGCATCACATCCTAGTTGATTCATCTTTCAAAGAGTGAGATTTATTCCTTTTGCATTCAAACCCCCAGTATGTCCATTGCCAGCAGTAGACTTCATGTTCCGAGAATCAGACTCACAGTGTCAGAAATTTAAAATTAAACTTCAGTACAAGTTTATAAATAATCAATAATGAATGTATTATTTTAATACCATAATCTCCAGACACTTAAAGGCCATGATCCAAGCCAACCAAAATCAATGACTGTTTTTTCATTGACTTAGCTGAAATTTACCCGCAGTTTCCAGTCTCATTTTAGTTTTACAATTTTATTACAGCATGAAGAGTTAAAAGTACGTAGTATCAGAGCTTCAGTGTAAGAAGTAAAGCCTCTAAGTCTTTCTGGGCCTCTTTATCCTGAAAGAAACAGACAACCATGCATCAATTTAGAGAGGATAAATCCCTTCATTTGCCTAATACGTGCCTATCCACATTTCTTTACTAACAACAGACATAACACACAACTGCAACAGCCACAAAATGTAAAGACTGGATAGTAAGTTAATTTATCAGTGAATACAAAAATAAAGTTTGAAGTGAAAACAAGAGCCAGATGGCGGCCCTCCCTTTACAGCTTGGTTAAAGCACTTAAAATGTTAGCCCACAAATAGCCTTCTAAGCAGACCAGTAAGCCCTTCAGCTTGGGATATAATTTTCATTGATGTACTTTGCATAAAGTATTGCCTTGCCTTATACCTGATGTAATCTTGCATCCTGACCACATGCAGTTTCTCTAAAGATGTTCTGTGATGTTTGCTAATGATTTATTATGCAACTAAGAAGAAAACATTGGGAAATGTAATTAATGACATAGGTTAGATGGTGGTTTCAGAGCATACAGCCATACCTACCTGTGACAGCCGCCATGGGCTGACTGCACCCTTGGTATCTTCCAGACTGAGCTCTCCCTGTGCTACTGGGCTCATGGCAGAGTGGGGCCAATGTGGGAGCAAGAGGCAGGTGACCTGCTGTGCTCAGAGCCAACACTACATTGTACTCCTAGGGCAGCAGGAAAAGGCTCCTTTTAGGCCAATGTTTTAAGTGCACAGCTTTATGGGGCTTCAAACCTAAGCCAAGCCTAAGATTGTCTCACAGGTACCCAGTGACATATGTTTTGGCTATTCCATGTATAATCTCCTTGGAAAGGGGCACATGTATATAAGCATGTAACCACAGTACAAAAACTCCATTACTCTACTTATTTTTAAGTGTCCTCTGGATATAATCTGCTTCCTTTAGTTGCTGCTGTAAAACCTCTAGCTTGCAAAATACACCTTGGTTGAAAACAACATTTCTAAAATGTCACCACCTCATGCCTGAAGGCTCATAAGGTCCAAACACCCAACACATGCACCCATGGATATTTAACAGTGCAAGTGAAAAGTGCCTGCACGTCACAGATTTTGTGTAAGTATTTCTAATGACAGGGTCCAGTAATGATAATGCCATGGTATATTCTCAAGGAAAATACTGCAGACAGTGAAGTAATCACTAGATTTCAGGATCACTTCATTACTCAATCAACCAAAGAGCTGGAACAAAATACAGAACATTTTAGAATATATTTCATGGGTGAAGAAATTCCTGCCTCTCTTTATTTTGGTTAGTTGTCTATAATGTCATGGAGGAACAGAGAAGAATATTGAGATGATAAAAACCATATGCCAGACATGTCAAACTACATCATATTATTGGTCTGGATTAAGGCATTAATACATTAGCTGAACACTTCTCTTGGAGTTACTGCCTTACTCCTACTGGCAACAATAGGCTAAACTATCTGCCTAATCATTTATCAGAGGCCTTTAAAGGCACACACTGCAAAGCCTGTAAGCTCTTGCCAAAATACTCTAACAGAAGGAAATGTCATACAGCACTGAGCACCCCTTAAACTCCACTTCAATACAGGCTGTCTGGAGCACCATGCCGTTGCTTTCACCAAAAACTGAAAACTTCAAAATTTTCCCTTAATTCAGGGAAAATACACTCTTTTCTGTACTGACTGTGGTCAAATTGTGAAAACAATTCTAAACTCCATTAAATAAAAAAGTAAAAAGCCAGATATTGTCCCATGCTAATAAGAAATGGAAAAGCTTAATTGTATCTGGTTATACTTATGACATTTTTCTAAGTTGAAAATTATAAAGGTGCAGGTTTTCTCATATCTGAATAGTGTTCAGCATTTCTACTCATTTTGCAGGATACAGCATTTTAAAAATATATCTCCAAATGACTTTGGATAATAGTCTCTTTAGAAGTAAAGGATTATATTGGGCAATGAGCTTTACAAGTTGCAAAGGTCCAGAAAACATTGGGCAATCTTCCCTGAATCTTCCTCTGGGCTTAGGAAAAAGAATGGAACAAAACCCAAGATTGTTCTAAGAACTGTCTGGAGAAGAAACTGCAATTGTGCAAAGCATTCCACCTCTGGTTTGCCAGTTCTAAACAGGACTACATCAGTTAAAGCAGGAATTATTGTTGCAGACTGCTTAACGGGTTGCATTAATTGAGCCAGCAGCTTCCAGTCAATTAGAACTCGTACGGCAAAAGCATTGAAAAAAATAAGTCATGGCATTAAAAACAAAGCTGAGAATGGTCAGTGAAGGGAACTGTTATGTCACCTTTGGAGAGAGTCCTTCCAGACCAAGAGGTGTGTCATGCTAAAAGGAGAGAGAAGCCATAACTCTGTTCAGTGTACTAGTTTCTGGTTTTAAGAGTGAAAACTTCATTATTGCCCACAGCTTGACAGCTTGGCTGCTAATGGAAAGAAAAAGCCATAAATCCTGCCTTGGGCCAACTCTCTTCCTTATTGATTTCTGGGTTTGTGGCTTTCTGAAAATGAACAATAAGGTCAGCTATTTTTTTTTCCTTTTTTTTTTCTTTTTTTCCCCAGACAGCAGGGTTTCTCTTTAGAGTGTGGCAAGCAGAAGAAGAGGTGCAAGTTGTAGGAGGAATGCAATATACTTGTGTCAGTCCCATTTGTTCACCCTGAGACTTAGTTCAGCACTGAATACACAGCCATTTTCAACCTCATCTTTCTACTGTCAAGGCTTATATTTATTAAACACTCCCTATATCATTTTCAGAGTTGAATATGAGTTCAAAATGTTCTGCAAACTGCTACACAAAATGTATTCAAATTACAGGGTCAGGGACTGTATTTTGCCTCATTCCTATTTTGTTGCTTTACTTTTGTGTTTCATTATTCACAGGGGATATGCACAGGAAAAAAAGACCTGGGAGGCCAGGGACTGAACAAGGGGAGAGAGGGAGTTGAAAACAAGAGCAAGAAGGAAGAGACAGCTGGTGGGAAAAAGGGAATGTTGGCTTATCTGGAAGTAGTCCACATTTTGACAATTCATTTTTACTGAAAAAAAAAATTACTGATACATATACATGGAGAGTTACACATATAAATGTGAATGTAAAAATTAAATGGCAATTAAAGCCAGGACAGAAAGATAATGATTTTACCTTCCATCTCTGCTAATTATTTCCTTATGTGCTAATACACTCAACCCAGGCACTGCACATGTGTGCACTTGTTGACAAAGTCCCAACTGTCAACAGAGAATGATACAACCCCATGACCACAACCAAAATGGTTACACCAGCCAACGAAAACATAATTGTGTGCAACCACTGCCAAATCCCAAGCTGACATGCATCCTGTAGGGTTTCACTGAAGTCAGCAGGGCAGCATGGTATATTAAATAAGCTGGGCTGCAAGGGTGGTCCAAAGCTGTACTCTGATACGCAGTAACAGCAATGAGGTGCTGAGAGACACTCCTGCTTTTGGGTACAGCTGTATGGTTCCCTCACAGCTCCAGGAGAAATCCTGGGCTGTAGCAGAAGAGACTCCCAAGCATGCACAAGGGTTGTTAGAGAGCAATAGCTCTTGTAGACAGTATAAATCACATTTAGCAAAGCTAAATGCTATCCTATCCCTTCTTGGTTTCCTGACAGACTCTCACAGATGGTGTGACTGTAGTCACTGTTAGTGACTGTGCACTAACAAGTGTATAACACCATGACTTTTCTCCTTTGTTATTGCAACACACCAATGTAATCATCCACGTGCCACCTTCTACGCGTCTGCTGTATGTCACAAGCTGGTGCATTCTATGTTCTTTCATATTATCACTATCTTCTCTGGGGATTAACTGTAACTTCACAAGGCTTTTAGGATCTAGGCAAGCACAGCTTTAAAATATGCAGCAAATAATTACAGATTTTTGGATATTACTTCAAGTAGAGGGAAAATACCCTTTCTCACCCAGAAGAATACAAATAAACAGTTCAGCTCGTTTCAAGGACTACTGTTGAAAAATTACAAAACAGCAGAATACAATTCAGAATAGTTAGTAGTCACGTAAAATTTTAATTGGCTAGTTCTTTCCTGATTTGAAAGACTAAATTTCACCTATGTTCTGGTTTTCTTTACTACTGTATACAATGTGGAGCTTTTGGTGTTAAAGACATTCTCCTCTTTGTGTTCAGCTGTTGCCTCTCCCATGATGGGACCTACAGCTTTTCTTTCTGCACAGTCATTGCTGAAACAGCCTGAACACAATCACACCCAGTTAAAGCCCTCTCAGAAAGGTGCCTGTCAAGGCTTTCCTTCACCCTGTATATTGCCTCCAAGACAACATATTTCAAAATCCCAGGAGTTTGACTTGGCCCAGATACTCTACAAAAATTCAAAAAGGGTTTTTGCCAATTGATTTTGTAATCCTGGATTGTACCACCACCTCTGTGAATATGTCTTCCACTCTGCCCCTGCATGATCAGAATGCCAATGGAGACACACTACATGGAGGAGACAGAGACACACTCCATACTTTGGGGAACTGGCTGCTGACCAGTCTTGCTGGACTAAGAACTGTGCTAAAACTGTGTTAGCTTTGATAGGATGTTGAAACAAATACTGTGTGATAGTCAGTTTCATCATAAATATAATAATCTTGATGTTTATCAGGATAAACTTCATCCTTGTATGAAACTGTGACACCACAAAGATGATCTTCATCACTTTTTGGAATAATTTTCAGAGGAAGAAAAGAAATAAGTTCACAATGCAAACAAGCCTTTTTTCAAGGACTTCAAAAACATGCAGATAGAAAATTGATCTGATCACTAAGAGAAAAATAGACTATTCTTTGAAGTGCAAAATAATGTAAAATATTGGCAGTCTCAAATTATTTTAGCAACTCTTTAACTCTTACTTTCCCCTAGAATTTTAATTTGAAATTTGATTTCTTCATAATGAGTTTTAAAAAAGTGTATTCTCTGAAACACTCACATTTATTGTACACAAAACCACTAATTAAGGAATAGTTTTTTTAAGCACACTCAAAAAATGTTTTAGCTTTGAGTTGGTGGTAGCTATTAGGAAATTCTCGTTCAACTCCACAAACAGTACTAGCAGGAAAACAATAGCCTAGAATTCAAAATTAACACAAATCTGAACACTTCCATTATTTTTCAATTGAAACATCACTGATTTTTGCTGGCCATTTGGAGGACAAATCTTCTCTGAAAAACATGACATTTTGTATTGAGCTGAAGACGTGAAAAGAAAATATTCTGGTTGATGAGAAAACAAAAACACTTGTATAAGGTTAGCCCAAATTACTCTGTTTCAATTGGTAGTTTTTTTTCAAAAACAAGTCATAATTTGTAACCTTCACTTTAAAAGCAACTACTTTTTTCTCCTCAAAATCTTAGAATGACAAATTACAATAGCAGCTTCAAATAAGATCTGTTGGAAATACCACAACAAGGTCTGCTCATATGACCAATCCATGGCTGCTGGAGTGGGTATTTCTTGTAAAAACTTGAAAATTCAGATGCACAAATAGTCTGTTGGAATGGAACAGCTGATGGGTGCTGAAATTTATACTCTGACCTCTCTTCCATCCCTCTGCAACTCCCACTTTTGACCTTATAGACAGTATTAAAAATTAAATTAATAGCCAGGGAAATCAATTATGGTGTTGTACAAAAAAGTGGAAGAAAATTGTATGAGCACAAGTTCCCCTCAGCAGCTGCATTCTTGTGTAAAAATCCAGCCATTGTTGTTGCCTATTATTACATTTATCACCTCCTCCACATGAGTTTCATATGTCACTGAGGCTGAAGGCAGAGTCTTTAACAAGTCTCTGCTTCCTGCCACTCTACACCTGTAAGAAGTGAACGTCATAATCGTGAATTTCTGTATGATCTAAATCTGTCTTTGTTATTTTCAACTCTGAATTGCCATAATTTCTAATTGCTGGGAAGGATGGAGTGCACAAAATCACCAAAAATTTTGTAAAACACTTTCTTACCTTTAGGGAAGTTTTTATCTACATTTTAAAGTAAGACTTTCAGCAACTCACTGCAAATAAATTTCCTTTGCATTTTTCCTGCTTTCCTGTTTTCATTTCTTCAAAGACTACACTTTTTTGTAATGCTACTGCTGCTTTCAGATTAACTTTTTTTATTTAAATGTAATAGAGACTAGAACCTTGAAATTTCAATCTCTTTCTCTGTTAGGCTGTTAACTCCTTTGTGGTGAGCTTACTGGTCCTACAAGCACAGAATTCATTGTCATGCTCATGCTTGCCTCCAGACAGAAGAAAAACCAATTCTGTGACAATTATACTTTATAATCCTACACTGAGACTTGAAATTCTACGAGTTCCAGCCTTGAAAACTTCCAACAGTCTTTATTAAAAACAAGAAATTAGGGTCTTATTCCCCTTACAAGCAAAGGACCATGTGTTTAACGCCCCACCCCAAACACACCCCTACCTGTTCTTTCTGTATGTGAGACAGATACTCATGATTTCAAAATTAAATTACATTTTTCTCTTCAAATTAAAAAAAAAGTACTTTTGTTCCACCACAATAGTCCACCACATCTGGTTTCAAGAGCCCTTGACGCAGTCACACTCAGCAAGGCTTTGAGCACACTACAAAGTAATGAGTCTCAGTAAGGGTAATGCAACATCCTCTAGATGAACAGAGCAGCTGTTAAGCACTTAACAATAACTCACAGCAGCCCTGAAGACTGGGATCTCTTTTACTGAAGGGGCAAATATTTCCCAGGACCCTGAGGTTATCCACCTGGGTAGCAACCAGAGAAAAACTGGACAATTTAATGTCCCATGCACCTCCAGCAGTGAAGTACCACTCTACACTATTTATGGCCAAGGAAGGACTGCATGATTTATTGGAGGTTTTTTGTTTAGAGAGGATAGAGAAAGGTCTTTAAAGTTGCACTGTAATATCTGCTTTGTTTTTCCAGATGTAATTTTACCAAATCTCACATATTTCCTTTAAAAAAAAAATGCATAGACTGATAAGTTAAAAATGTGCCAAACTATTTTTAAAAACTGTCCTATTTTTAAAAATCCTCCTGTAACTCTTATTTTACAGGACTCATTCAATCAGAACTTGTTTCTTTTGATATAATTCTGTGTATCCTTTTTTTGAGATTTAGAATAGGTTTAAAACAGGCCATCTGATTTTTTTTCCTTTAACAAGAATTAGCTATGTTTGGAAGCCCCTTTACCCCTTGAATTAAAACAAACTCTGTAAATGGTAGAACAGATGCACAGAAGGGAAATTTGGATGTGACATAACATTCAAGACAAAAATAATATCACTTAACTCAAAATGTTACATGAAATGAATCCTAGAAAAAGTGTGCAAGAAGTGTCCTGAGTTACAGCAGCTGAGAATTTGACCTGAGGATTAAAATGAGCTATGGGCTACTTTACTGATGTGAAGCACCTCTGGTTCCCAGAAGTCACTGGAAACTGTGGATGCTCAGAAGCAATAAGAAGTAAAACAGTGTCTGATAATTTTTCTGCAGGATGATTTTTATAATGAAATACTATACATTTCCTCAACGTGGCACCTTTCCAGCAACTTCGTCTCTCAGCCTGCTCCTAATTTTATGCCTTTATACAAATACATGTCTCTCACTAGAAGCCAACACTTAAAAACAATAAAGGAGTTCCCCTGCTTGAAGAAAGAGAAAACTCATATGAGAAACTATGATTACACTTGGGAATGATGGGTTTCACATGACTGTGACAAAACACCACACTGCTGACAACCTTGAGATCCTGAGCTGTGGCAAATGGAAAGAAATCCTCACACTGCTGCTGACCTGTGCTTTTTTCTAGATCACGAACCCCATCTTCTACAGGGCTGCAGTCAATTCAGGCACTAATAAAGTGCTTATTAGCATCTCCCCAATGCCTCTTCAGTCTTATTACAGTCTCTTCCCCTTCTTAAACTAATCTCACTAAATGTTATTCCTACATACAGCTCCAAGCCCTGAACCACTTCACTTCCAACACATTTTCCCAAAAATCAGTAACAGTCTTTCTGTAACACAATAACCAAAACAACATGTAATATTCAAATTCAGATGGGATTTGAGGTAACAGTCAGACACAGCAGAGTTCATGTTCCAGATCTCCATTTCACAGCAATTTCTTTCAGCGTGCACTTGGTTTTTTTTACCCTGTGCTGAGTGCTTGGTTGGTTTTTTTTTAATTGAATTACATACTACTGCCCTAATGCCATATTCTTCTGGACTCTTTTTTCTAACTCTAACTCAAAACACACCACAAGTAAACAAGACAAAGGACACTAATCTGTGATATCTACAGAACTCATCAAAACAGGAGAGGTCAAATCACCTTGTCCTCTTCAGACAGACAAAAGGTTTTTGGGGCCCATTTGACACTCACCCTTCTGATTACACAAATCAGTGTAATTCTTGTTCTCATCACCACCCTGCTTGCCAGAATACATACACCTATCCCTCAGACTCCTTTTGAATTCCTGCTCTCACCTCAGGGCTCCTTCTCTTTCTCAGGTCTGCTGATACTTCACAAATGTGATGGGATATTAAACAGATAATTTATAGCAGCCTTTCCTATGTTCTGTAATAGGCAAGCTGAAGGAATATTTTATCAGTAAGTAAAGAATAAAGAGAATTAAATCATTGTCAATGTCATATCAGTATCAATACATATTTAAAGAAACACTGAACTTAAGCAAAGATTAATTTATGATTGGTACATACTATAACTGGGGCCAAAAATTAGGCCACCCAGGAGCAGAGGCATGCAGGGGTCTTTCTTCCCAGCAGGAACACTTGACATAAACATGTTAGTGCTCCACACACAGCATTTATTGTCAATCAACTTAAAGAGTTGTTTAATGGTCTTTTCCCTTAACTTCAAAGAATTAAATGGGATGGGGCCAATTCCTCTCAGGAATCACCTCTCTTTCTCCATACCACATCTGCTGTGCTCGGAGGGGGTCCCTTAGGCTGAAAAAGCTCAGGTTTGAACTCGTCATGCTCTAGGATGGTAAGATGTTTCCAGTCATAGGTCAGTTATGGAACTTGCTTTTACACGAGATCAGACAGAGTGCACCTTCTTGCCATGACTTGGTTTATATTTGAGAAATTAAACAACTTAAAATCTCCAAAATATTTGTAGAAATTTTGTGTCCAAAAATGTACCAAAATGTACCAAATGTACCAAAAATGCTCTAATGGGCCTAAAATACTGTAATGGGCCTCAAGAGGAATCTAGTAACCTCTTAGAACAAACTCTAGGCCAGCAGATATGACTTGAAGAACTGTGCCTCCTTAACTGCCCTGTGGTTGAAGACAAAACCAATCTTAATAACTCATCTGTCTCTGCTGTAGTTAACATACTGCCCTTAACAAGAATCACAAACCAGAGGCTTTCAGGAGCAGAGACAGAGACTGTAGGACAAAAATCCAGGGTGCTTTCCACTGAGGAAAACATAGGTCTGGGGCAAAATTTCAGCACAGCTAGAGTGACACCTTCAACTGCTTCTGCTCAAGATGATCTAATGAAGTGGGTTGAATTACAAAGAGTACAATTCAATTTCTGATACAAACGAGTCCCTGACAGTTTTCCAAACAAAGATTTTTTTAAAGCTGTTGATAGAAACAACTGTTATGAGGCAACCTAGAGTGGAGGGAAAAGGAATGTTCTGTGCTGGGAGGAAAAACTGAAACATTATGTTGTTACCGGCAGTGCAATAATGGATGCCAAAGACAAGAGAGCAGTCACAAGGGAACAAGTTATCACCCTCAATACCCACCTCATTAGTAACTGAGAGAATTGACAGTGCAGAATCACAGCACTTCAGTGCATTGTTTTTCTGGCCAAGATCTTTATAGCACTGAAAAGAAAAAACATTTTGTTTCCAATCAGACCACTGTAAGAACACCAGAGTCTACAAATCATTATTTTTAAAAGAACTTGGTTACCTTTGCCAAATACACATAATTGCATTTGGAATATCCTGGATGCATTTCTTCCGCCTAAATAATAAAAAACAGGAAAGAAAATAGACATAAAACTTGCATGATGAGATTTATGCGATCTGCATAGCATTTTTAGTAATGCACTACATTTCCTCGAATCATCCCTACTCTGTGTAATGCAATCTGTTTAGTAGCACTTCAAAAAAAAATCAAGAAAACAAAAAACCACAAAAACCCTAAAGCAGGCACTTTGAGATGCTGACAGTGAACACAGAAAATGTTCTGTACTGCTTGCTCTCCTCTCTCCCTAAGCACTCTGTAAAGATCTAGGGTCATTCTGTACAAGATCTATTGGATTCACTCACTTACAGGAAAGGCTTAAAGATACCACTGTCTATAGATTATTAACATTTATTTCCTCATCAAAGAAATAAGAAAGCAACCAACCATTCACACTTCGTGTAATGAGTAAAGAACTGTGTTTATCAATTTTACAATTATTTCCCTTCCACAGTCTCTTATCTTCTAGCCTTGGGTTCACCTTTCTTTTCAAATTATTATCTTCTGAAAAGTCCAGGTAATTAAAAAAGTTTAATAATGTCTTTTTTTTTTTAACAAATCGAGGCTATAGAAGCTTACAAGATGAGTAAGACTCTTACTAATTATCTACTAACAAAGAATCAGCTTTTAATCAAAGAACAGATATTGAGAGGAAAAAATTACATCAGTGAAATTTATAGTAGCTGTAATCTTTGGACCAAAACAATGCTGCTTTACTACAACTATGTAGAATCAAACAACTGAAAAAGAAACCTAAACAGTTGTCTTTTGGAAAGTAATTTGATTTTTGTTGCTGAAGATGACTTAAAACCACAGTCACTCTGCAGCCCACCACAAAATGCCCTGAAGCTAAAGTGAATGTTTCAAATTATTTCTACCACTTTTGGAATTTGACCTTCAAGATAAAATCTCTTAAACTGGGAAGACGGTAATGTATTGTACTGTCCAAAATTCAGGAGATCATTAAATCTTTAAATAGACTAAGAACACAGAAAATAAGCATTTTTAATAGCGAGGAAAAGATGCCTGTCCAATTTATTTGAAAAACTTTGATAGCAATTGTAATGATAGAAGTTTATGCTTTGAATCTAGTCATGTGAAAAACCTGTATGCTTTTGAGCTCCAGAAGCAAAAATTATACATATAGAAAGCAATAAAAGATAGATTTATTTTATTCATGTGCTGTTTTCTTGTGTTCAAATACAATGCCCAGGAATATGGACCTGTATGACAGAGCTTTCTTGCTACTTCACTACAAAAGCCACTTCATCTCCACAAATAAGAAACACTTCTACTGAAATTCAATGGAAAATAGTTTCAGATCAGAAAAAAGAGAAGCATGACAATGTCAAAGTTTTCCTTGCATATGTCAACTCTCTCGCAGAAACAGGCAAATCAGCAATTATCACTATCATAATGGTTCATCTGTTTCAGCAGCATATGTAACTAATCTATATTCATATCACATTAAATTCAATAACTATTAACCATGGCAATTAATTGGAGAATTTCCTGAAACTAAATACAGAAAAGAAAGGTGCTAACCACTCATGTCCAAACTAACTTTAAAACTGAAAAGAAAAAAAAAATTTAATAGAAAGCTCAGTGGTGTTTAGAAGAGCCCTGAATTTATAGCTACTGAACACAGTCTGTTGAACAGACATCCTGACAATACTCACATATAACAGCTGGCAAACAGCAACACAGGAAAACCCCTGGCTAGGACTTACCTTAAGGAAATTCTGCAATGCTTCTTCTACTGTTGAAGTTGGTGGAGTCCCAAAGAGAGCTGCAGCTACTTTCTTTTCAAGCCAAGACAACTGAGCTACCTAGAATTAAAAAACAAACAAACAAAAAATTAAAAAGTGAGATTTCTTAAGAGCTGCTTCTCAGTTTTGCAGTAAATACTGTCTTTCATATTGTACTACCTATACAACATATTTTGGAAAAGAACCTGTAAAGGAATGATTTATAGTGTCAGTTTGGCCAGCGCACAGAAGTCTTTTGGATTTTAGAGTCATGTGATCAAACACCAACATCCTCAATATATGGTTACTTCCATGTTCAAAGCTTAAAGTACATTTTAGGTTTCGTAGCATCTTATCTTTTTAAAAAACCTAAGGCTAGAAATAGTACTTGAAACTTGTTAAGGTTTTCATGAGATAGACAGCTTTGCAAGATAATCTATGCACTTGACTACTTTCCTACATCATGAAAAGGTGTTGCTGCAGTAAAAATGTGAGTGTTTTTGGAGCTTGTATAACAAGTTCATTTATTACACAGAAGCTGGTGACAACCACTGTTAAGAAATAGGCTTCATTTTTAGCTCTTCCAGTCTGACAAATAACACTTGCCAATGACCTCTTCTCATTTCAGGAAGATCAGCTGCTATAAAAGGACTTTAGGGAACTGTCATATTGCCACACAATGCATATGACTTACATACACTGACACCTGACAGAAACTGCTTTGGTCACTGCCATAAGGCATTTGGCTCCATCACCCAACCCTCATATCTCTAGCAAAGGATGGAGTTGCTGAGAAACGCAGTGTGAAAGAAGAGTCTGTTTAAGCGGAGGAGTGAAGCCACCTTCCTTTGAACACTTCTACCACATATGTAAAGAAAAGCCGGGAGTTTTTTCCTTCACATCAGTATTTGAAGCACAGCACTGATAGCTCCTGTCACAGAGCAGATGAGTCAAAAAATAGTAAAAACCAAGGTTCTGTATTTTCTGGCCTATCTATGAAGAGGCAACACAGAGAAGAGGCACACACAGGGCAAAGAAAGAGCCTCTCATCAGAGACTTGGAGATGAGATATGAATCACATAGGGACATCTCTTTTTCAAAAGGAGCTGCAATTCAAATAACAGAGTTCAGCCTTGAAGTCAAGTCTCTCCTACTGTTATAAAATTTAAAAAGGTTTTGCTTTGTTTTAGATTATTCCTGCCTCATTCCCTGGGTTCTCAATATCTGCAGGGCTGTGCTGCTCCCCCTACCAGCTCCACCTATATCCAGGAGATGTCAGTTAATAATTGTAAAATACAAGAATCCACTCTCCCATAACTATCCACAGCTACCAACCAGACTGCTTCTCCTTTGAACAGACATCAAGTTCTGCCTACTTCTTGTTGCAAATGAAAAGTACCATTGCAAAGACGAGAAACACAGGTCAGCATGAAAACGCACAGGGTCATGGTTTCTCATCTGGCCCCAGTGTCTCTAGCTGCATAAGAGCAGCATTGCATGGAGACAGAAGGCATCCTGTACAAGTCATGCTAGCTGCTCAGCAGGGTCCCAAGGCCTTATTTGTTACATGTTGTCAGTAAGTGGCTCACACCAAAGCACTAAATTACAACCCAGAGAGAAACGATATTACAAAAATAAAGTTTTGTTTTCATTCTCTTTCACATACCTCGCCTTTGAAGCTTCTTCTGAGAACATAAAATGTTTTTTACAAAACCTCTCCAGCAATCATGGAGTTCTTACTCATTGGAGCAACAAGATGTTGCCACTGCAGCGCTTTCCCACTGAGCTACAAACTGCAACATGCTGCTTAAAACTTCTAATTCTAGGTATAGATACAATTTCCTTCCCCATTTAATTTCTCTCACTGTTGTATAGTTTGTGAGACATATTCTACAAGAGTTATTAAAAGAATTTTTGCCAGAGTGCTGTTTTTTTCACGTCAATGTACTGTTGCCTTGTTCTCTCTTCTCTTGGAAGAGGAAGGGGGTTTCTGTATTTCTAGGTCCATCAAATGAAGAAAGAGGAAGAGAGGGGGGTAAAAATAAAGGGAATATGTTACACTGTTCTCTGCAAAAGCACACAACACCCTGGAGATACACACTGCACAGATACAATTACCACACTCATGTCTGCTGTTATGCAATCATGAGGAAACAAAATTACAGTTTTTCCATGTGGAATTATAATTAACCATTGAAAACACAAGCTCTTCCTGGCAGTTACTTTATTTTCTTATGAGATTTAATCAGAATGAGGCTTTAGTTTTTATTTTGTCTGGCTTGGGTGCTGTTTTGCACTACTCAAATTTCTAAAAAGCCCAAACATACATGCAGTTGGCCATTTTTATTTCACCATTCCCATCAAGCTAAAACAATGTTTAAAAGTGAAATGCATGTAAACACATGCACATTTCACACAAAACCACCCACACTGAAAGGAGGTTGTAGCGAGGTAGGTGTCAGTCTCTCCTCCCAGGTAACAAGTGATGGAACCAGATGAAATAGCACCAAGGGGAGGTTTGGATTGCATCTTAGGAAAATTTCCTTTACTGAAAAGGTGGTGGAGCATTGGAATAGGTTGCCAAGGTAGTGATATAATCACCTCCCTGGAAGTGTTTAAAGACCTGTGGGGGTGGCACTTGGGGACATGGGTTAGTGGTGAGCAGGACAGTGCTGGGTTAACAGTTGGACTTGATTTTAAGAGATCTTCTCCAACCTTGATGATTACATAATTCTATGGCAACAGTGAGGTTTTGTTTTTTTAATGTGCACTGTCTCCAGCATTATACTTTGTGACTATTCCAGAGACAATCTGAGAATTCTGTGATGTTTCAGCAGTGAGACTTATATGCTGCTGGCTTTATGAATTTGTCACAGCAAGCCTAGCCCTCCATATATGAAGTACCTAGTTCACACAAGTTGTCCAGGTTCCTTGCATGGTCAATACAGAGAGGCACTACCATTAGGCAATTCCTCTTCACCTACATTAGCCTGAGATGAACACTCCTATCTTTCTTTTCTTTCTACAAAAAGGAGCACAGACCCTAGGGATAGCTACAGGCAGCTGAGGTGAATCCCATCACAACGGCTTAACTGTGCCCGAGTCTGTCTCCACCCCACTACGACTGAAGGGGGACAAATGGAAAAGACCTGTTATATGCAATACACAAAATTGTGTCCCAGAGCAATAACGATGAACAGGAACTTATACTCTTCCCCCAAACACACATAAGCAAAGTCTTTAATTTGAAATAACTTTATTTGAGTAACTCTTACACCATGTTCAATGAAATGGAAACATCATTCCTACTATACAAAGTTATTAATGATTCTCTGTGAGCAAGCACAGGGAATGCAACCCCTGGTGTAACATGTGTATTCTGCCCTAGTGTAGTGCAGAATTGACTGCTACACTCAAGGTTACTCCAACAGTGCAAAATGTATCTGGAGGTCCATACAAAATCAAGTATAAAGAGAGGGTAACTGTCATCAACTACAACAGAACCATGATTTCACTTAGGGAGTGCTCCGAGTGGTAGAGTGAAGCAGGTAATAAGGCAAACAACTACTGTTGCAAGTAATAGCTACAATAACAACAACAAAATTAAGGAATGAAGACTGGTTTTTCCCTACAGATGATTTCCAAATGTTAAGTGAGTTTTGGTTTTTTAGGTCACCTAAATCCTGATGTCAGTCCTGCCAGAAGCCTGAAAATTCAGAGAAGCACTGCAAGGAACACTGTGTTTCCACAGAATATCAGGTTTTAATGTACTGGGTCACTCACGGAACATCACTCCCCAGCTGCCAAACATAAGGAGAGCTACTCCCACTCACTCAAGAGCAACAAACAAAGGCCTGAGGAACCATCAGCCAACTCCTGATCTCCCTTAGAGCTGAAGGGTAGTGGGTCATCCTGACAGCCTGGCCTTTGCCAAGGACAGGAGGCCACTCTACATTATCCCAAAGCAAATAGAGATGCTTGTTTCAATGAACCTCTCCTACAGATCCATCAACAAACTGTCATCCATTTATCCTATACCAAAATCTCTGTTATATCCAGAGATGGAAGAAAGGCACTCCCAGAGTTAAACTGCAGCTGAACGCTAAGTTCATAGTCAGCACTCTTCCATCAGGCCTCTTGTACCTCTGAGGGCCAAAAAATGTGGTTCTTTCCTAAATACTGGGGAAATGAATTTCAAAAATATCCCTTTCTCTTCCTTAGCCTAGGATCAACATATAAATATATATATACATACACTGTAACACTGGCTGGATTTTTGTCTTCTGTTTGTTTTTTATGAGAAGCAAACCCAGCTCATTGACAGCTCGTTTCACATTCCAGGATGTTGGTATGAAGGAAACTAACCCACCTGAATTGAAAAAGAATCCACGATTGACTTTCAGTCCTAAAAGACATCCTCTTCTAATGCTTCTTTGCTAATAGCTCACTGAACACATATCACACAATTGTCTTCCATAAAGGCAAATCACAGCATTGATCCAGCTTCAGTAAAATATTAATGGCACCTAATTAAATATCCTCAGAGAATTTCTTTTTCTTTTTCATTACAATGTATTAATGTAAAATTGTACTAAATAATTTTGCAATGTTTTGACTTCTGGAACAGATTAAGTAACTGGACACCAATTTTGGAATATTGGCTTCCAACAAAAACATTCTCTTTCTTGCCAGCTGAGGAACCTGGACAATCTGTACAGGCATTTAGGTATTTATCCAACTTGAATTAGGCTTTTCAATTTCCAGTAAGGGAAGCCCACTTAGAGAGCACACAAAAGAACTGTATCAATTTATTCCCTGATGTAACCCAAACAGATACTGGGATACACCAGAGACAAATCCAAAACATGGCATATAACCTGCAGAAGGAAAATCCCAGGAGATCTAATTTTCAACACACTACTAGCATTTACCAGGGACTCTGATCCAGTTTCACAAGTACATGCTAGCTGTTCTGTGCCTGTCCTGTAATGGCAAGTAGACATAAGTCTTAACTAGAAAGTTTTATAAGCTATTTGAAACACTAAAACACTTAACTCCCCTCTCCGCCCAACCATACAATTATAAAGAATTATCAGATAATTGTGCCCAAAACTTTAAGGAAATAATTCTTATATACCATGCACCATAGATCCATTTACTTCTTGTATACACAGCAAGTCTCATAGGCAAAATTTTGCCCACCATGACATCTGTGAAATGACTGGTGAAAATCTTGCCTACCTGTTTGTGATAGCAGAAGTAATCTTCTAGCAGAGCTGAGAGGATTCTACAAGCGTCCTCTTTTGTACAGCTCTACTGACTTTAAATGGTAAGAGAAACAAGAAACAGCAAAAACTGATTTTTAGACAAGGTGGTGCACAACTCCCACTGGCTCTGCATCACAGACAAACTCCAGTTGATGTGAGGCAGTGAAAACCCAGCTCATCCTTTCTGCTGGAAGGTGCTATGACATCTTGCATCAGCTTCATTTCTGGCCCAGCAAGAATAACTGCTGAGTAAGAAACTCAGCAGCGCTGTACCACTGCCTCTTCCAAAGGACTGCACTACACTGAGGAAGGTGGGAAATGGCAGTCAGGCCAGATTGAACTCCACTAATTAAACAGCTTTTACTAGTACAGCATGCAGTCTTTGCATACAGATTTCAGTCTTCAGTAAATCTTCTGCATCTGCTTCCACTGGTTGAGGCGTGACATGACTGACAGTTGGACTTGAGGATCTTGAAGGTCTCTTCTAACATCGATGAGTCTACGATTCTATACTTTTTACCTCAACATTTTTTCAATGGATTTTCATTTGTGAAAATGAACTGTAGCCCTGAGTTGCACTTGAAGCATCCCCATTTACAGTATCTTATGCAATTCCTGTTTGTCATCCAAAAAATATAGTAATAAGATCCCCTAACATTAAATTGGGAGTGAATGGGAAATATCTGACTATTCTAGGAAGACTTAAGTACATCAGATTTCGCAAAACTGCTATTAAAACCTATAAAATATCAAAAACGTGGGGTTTTGTTTAACTACACTGCTTCAGTAAAAGAATATGTGACCAAAATTACACAAAAATACCATGGGAAGCCATACCTATGAAAGAACAAACATTCAATGGTCAATCCTAACTTGATCCCAAAGTCAGCTAGGCTAAATGTAAAAACTAACCTTCTTGCCTGACTCATCTCTCTTCTGCTTTAATTATCTCACACTGGACAACACCTTCCCAGCCTCAACAACAGTGAGACTGAACATTAAAAACAGAACATCTAAGAGGAGCATTATCACTCCATCTACAGGTACCAGAATAGATGAGTGACAAAGGAATTTTTCAACACTCCATCATAATCCTTACCCTGACAAAGTATTTGGAATCAATGCCACAGCCAACATTTTTCTTTTGGGATAATTACTACAGCATAATTACTACAGAAACTTCACAGTCTGCAGAACAGGAGCAAGTAATTTGGCATACCTTCCACAAGCTCCTATGACTAACACGCACGGCCAAAACCTGGGTTAGTGGATCAGCACAGAAACAATTCACTCTGCTAAATCTAGTGAGGATATTACCAATCTCACTGGGGTAGGGTTAAGACTAGTAATGCCTCAAAACTAATGTTTCCAAATGACCTCATCTTGCTACTGAAAGTGTGCAAAGACAGTAAGTTTTTAGGAGCTGACAACCCCAGAAGTTGAACAAGATGTTATTCAGTCCTATACTTGCATTTGTTTAGAGTACAAAAATCTGTTCTGTGTGTTTCAGGTTACTATTTTGTCATGGCAGTCACAGAAGGCAAGAATTAAAAAAAAAAAAGAACAACAGAAATCTGAATTCAATCCTTACATATTTCAGTGGCTACATCTGTTTAGGTAGATTGTTTCACTCAAATAAATGCAGGTCAGGTCACAGCCTAAAGCAAATGCTAATCTGTGGTTTCAATGTTTAGTAAGGAAGTCCTGCATAGATGTTGTGAGTGTGGGATGTGAATTTGTAATGATACAGTACAACAAGCCACATGTATTACTCAGTCAGGAAGTGGTGATTGTAATGAAAATGAAACGAGTAAAAAACAAAGTGCAATAAGAACTAAGTGAGGTATACTGAGATTGTGTGTTTCCAAAAAGCAGCAGCTCACATGAGAAATAAGCCATGAAAAACATCTGGGAGTATTTGGCTTAAATGGAAGCTGCAGTTAGCTGTTGGGCACAGCACAGTACAAAAGTGCTTAAGGAATCATTGATCAGAGAGATGCTTCTCAGAGGCAGGACAGCAGCATACTACAGAACCATCTTCAGCAACTTATTTTTGCATAGCTAATGCTGATATTCAAGAGTACACTGTGACAAAAAGCAAAAAGCCAAAATTCCTTGAAAAAGCTGGTGTCATTCCTTACCCTTATTCAAATCAACAGAGAAAAAACATGGTTGCTGAAAGCTCTTTGGAAGTTAAATATATGAACTGAAAAACTGCTGAAAGATTACTTTGCATTAAGTCTTGTTGCAGATAAAGACAAAGTCTGTAATGTGTCACAGCAAATCCTTCTTTCCAGTTTGCCGGCACTTTGTAGTGACTTGCATTGGAAGTATCCAAAAGACAAAAGCTTGGCTGGAATTCACTGTGCATTAGCAGTCATTATTCTGAGAAGACTCACAGTGATTTTTTACAGCATAGACAATGCAAGAATGTTTTCTTCCAACAAAAGATTCTTCAAAGTACTAGAGAGGAACCAGTATGGACTGCCAGCTGAGCCCTCAAAGATGTGGATTACCAAAAAGACAACTCTCTTATTAAAGCACAAGCACAATTTTTCTGAAAAACTTATTAACAGTTAATCTTGTTAACCAATTATTCTATTTTTTCATATATGAGTACTTATCACTACAGAATCTACTACAATCTAATATAATCTTTATAAAATATAAATTAAAATATATAGCTAAAACAATCTTTAAAAGCAGCTGTTGTACCAGTATGACACAAATTGCATTTCTTGCAAAACTCATTGGTGAATTACAGATTTTTATGCATGAATATTATTTGGACATTCCCTTGGAATTTACCAAGCCAGTATGGTAGCCTTGCTGCCACAGGCATAATCCCACAGCATTTAAATGCATTTAACTTAAGTTATGGATGGGAAATAAAGTCACCACAAGGCTATGTTACCAGCCCAGGTCCACCCAGAAAATTTATGGCAGAACAAAGAAATAAACTCAAGAGGTCATCCTTCCTCCCTTCCAAAAATCAGTTACTTTTTATTAATTCATTCATTCAGATAAAAAAACCTGAACACAACAATGAGGGTCATGCAAGCACAGCTTACCTAATTACATTGCAGGAATGGTCAGCTGTGAGCATCATGCATCTGGTAGTGAACTCAGGAAGTGTAAATGCCTGCTTCACTTAGCTCAAAAAACATCTACTTAAATAAATACCTGCTTTATCTTAAGTCCTACTATTTAATTGTAATTTTCTATTATACTCAATTCATACTTCAGATAAATAAAACGCAACTTACTGAATAGCACCATCTTCCATTTAGGTAATATAAAAAGGGATCTTGAGGCTTAAGTTCAATTGCCTTGTCTAGGTGCTCCTATTGGAAAGAAAATTAGTATCACTTTAGATATTCATTTGGCAAGTGTGTTTACATTCTAAGTAGTTTGCTGCAAGTCAGGAACAAATTTAGAAATTCTCTTCTGCTGCAATTGTCTTCTAACAACCTAAAACTTTAACTAGCAAATCCCTTCCTCATGGAGGGAAACCACAAAATTATTTAGCAACGTTGCACGCAATGCAAGAAGGCATGCTGTATTTGGAACATGACTAAATAGCTCTAAAGTTCAGGCAAATAATTCAAGAACTTTTGTCTTAAAAAGGCAACAACTTCAATTAAATTAATTTCATTTATAGTTAGTATTAGGAAACTATCACAGATCAAATCAGTGAGGAAGTTACTACTCTTGAACAGATCTTACATGCCAGCACCCATAACTGAAGCATAGTTCCTTCCACCTTGGAATGTGACAACCTCAATGAAATGGTACTTGACACAACCAACTGTTATTATAATGTGAAATTCAGAAAATAAAATGGTTCTGTTTATAGTGAAACTATAAAATCTATAAAGTATCTAATGAGGTCCTTTCAAAATCATTTCCATTTCAGGTCATGAGTACCTTTATTTCTCTCTTTAATTTATCAAAGAAAGCTCTTATTGCTCAACCTTAGCTGGAAGAAAAAATAAATATTTCAGCCCTACTATTTGCCTCTCAAAATAAATTTCATTCAAACATTTCTTTTTCCCCCCCCACATACGTGTCTTCCTAATTAAGCCAGTCACAAAAGTATTTGACTTACACATATATAAGAGACTATTATCATATCCACAACTATTCAGATAGGAGCTATGTTTTCATACTACTATCCTCACTAATCAACAGATTTCAGGATTATTTGTGAGGAGCAAAACTTCCCTGAAACAGCTACTGCTCACACCACAGTGACTCTTTAAAAAACTCCATCCTTGAACAGCTGCAGCACTTGTGTTATTTGTCATTTTCCCTTTGTTCCCAGTTTATCCCAGTGCTCAGGGCTTAGCTTGCTTGGCACAGCTCAGATGTAATTAATGCTCTCTCAAAGGAAAGCTCTGCCACACTCCAAGTCCTAACACGGACATGATGTGAGAGGAGCCCATCCCAGGCATTCCCCAGGGACTGGAACATGTCTGTTGTCTTTCACTGTCACCCAGAAAGGGGGGACGCCAGCTTGGAGGGCAAGGGATGGATGGAAAGTGTCTAAGCAATGCTGAGGACACGGAGGGGGGGAGTAGCACATATAACACAAACAGCTAACTCTAAAAAACACAATTACCTTTGCAAGGACAGAGTTTAAACAAACATTACTTAAGGGCAACATGAAGGATGACTGCAGAACTGTGTTAGTTCATTGCTTGCTGTTTCATATGTTTTGGTTATCTAACAGAGTCATTAATGCCTTTCCTCCCCCCTTTGACTACAAAGGAAATCAGAAATCTTAATGCTGTTCCCAGAATCCTACCTCAATTTTTATATTTTGCAAGCATATAATTTATTTTCATACATAATAATAACCTTTTCAATTTAACTTCAGCACCAAAATAGACCTGTGAGGCTGAATTACTGTGTTGGAAAAACCTTTCTTTGACACTATATAAGGAAATAACTTAAAGAAATAGCTTAAAAAAACCAACCACAAATCCTACAAAAACATACCTTAAAGAGATAACCATTCCTGATTTTGTTTTGTACACTTTCAAACTGAGACATATAGCCACACATAATTGCAAACCTGAGAGGGGAAAAGAAAAACACACACACATACTTTTTGTGATTTAAATAAAACTTTGAATCACATTACAAAATATTTCAATACCTAATGTACACATTTACACCTTTTTTTTTCCAATCTCAGTGGCTGGATGGAAGTTTGGCATGAGCTATAAATATTCAGGAACAGACAAAAACACAAACCAAAACAAAACAATGGAAACAAGGAGAAGTTTAAATGACAATATTTGGGTTGTCAGTTAAGTGAAAAAACCAGATTTCTCCTCCAAAATTTCAGCCATTTAGTTCAGAGTGCAACACTTCCAGACTGGCTCTACTATTGACAATAGTTTACCTTGACACATTGTGCTCTGCGCTTCACTGGGAACGTGAGCACCACCAGCTGCAGAAACACCCAGGAAGGCAAATGCTTGGGGTGTGCCCAGAAGGAAGCTGTACACACCTCAGAAACATTCACAGTTGCCTTCCACCTTTCTCAAATACCCCAGTGCACTCCTGCACTTCTGACATTCTTCTAGTGTCTTTAAAATTTGAAAACATATGCATACATTCTGCTCTAACAGGATCACTACTGCCATTGCTAGATGTCTATTGCTAAGATCATTATTATTTCTATTATTATTATTATGATTATCATAAATGAGTGGTAAAAGAAACGTGAGATAATTTCTATAAAATATTTGTTAAACACTTATAAGTGAAAATATTTTCAGAGGTAAACCTAGATTGAGATCTCCTAAGCAGCACTATTATTGACACTCCACCTAAATTTCTATTGCTTTCTTCTTATTTCTTCAACAGTTATAGGACCTCTATGCATAAGGAATCTCTTGCACAGATATCAATTACATTTTCCTTGGACCTATTTTCATTGGTATTAAGACAACTTTGCATCTCTGTATAAAACTAAAAGAACCACCAAAGAAATAGTTAAGCAGCAAAAACTCATGTAGATTATTTTTCTAATATTTTTCAGAATTTCGCTTTTTTATCAAACATTTTACAATGCAACACCAAACAAAAATAAAAATTAATCCTAAAAGAAGGAAATCAAGTTGAAGTCCAGAGGAAAACATGCGTTATGCAAGAAGCTTATTGAGTTAATTATGGTAACACAACCACAATCTGCATGACACACACAGTTTGTAAGCACTATTAAACATCAGCTTTCTTGAATTTCTTTATCTAATGTAATTATTCAAGCTCCAGTGAATCCTCATTATGCTAACACAACCCAAGAAATTATTTTACTGCTTACAGTTATACCTAATGGTTTTAACTCAGAAATGCTCATCCTACAGGTTGTTTTGGTCAGTAGTGTTTTGGTTAGTACATGTTCCCAGGTAAGGCACGGAGTCAACAAAACAGCAGCTGAGCATGTAAGAGCTCCAGACAGCCTGTCAAACACTGTTGAGCAGGGTGTTTGTTGTGACCAACGTGCACTGGACAAAATCCAGCTAATGGCAGCACTAGCGCTGACAGAGCTGCAGCCGGAGTGCATTTCCTATGGGAACGAGCTGCAGTTGAGGGAAAAAGCAAGGGATGGGGGTGAGGAAAGTTCAGGTATTTAGAGAGAGGGGGGAGGTAGTGAAAACTTTATTAGGGTTAAGTAACTCAGGCAACATTGCCCCTATTCCCTTCACTCATTAAGTGCTAATCAGATAAACTCAGCATACCATAGCTAAACGGATTGCTGCTACAAAAGAAAACAATGAAAAGCGAACAAGCTAATCCAGCATCTTGCAGTATTTCCCTGTCTGTGCGTGACAAGAAAGAGGGCCTTAGTTTAAACTAGTTCAAAGAAAAACTTCTACTTACAGCTAAAATCTCTTGGGAGGGAAATCCCAATGAAATTTTCACTGAATTAAAAGTAAGCTAACCTATTAACTTTAAATACCCATTATTTTTCCAAAGAAAAAATAAAAATGTCTTTCATATCTTTATTGGTTTTTTAAAATTTGGTTTGGTTTTTTAAATTTTGTACTTTTGAAGTGGACTAGACAGCCAATTGATAAAAAGTAATTATTTAATTTTTGAAATTCTATGGCATTTTGGATATTCATTTCATTTCTAAACAAATCCCCCAAACAAAACAAAAAAATATGTCCTTTCTTTCCTGAGAAGAATTTTTAAACATTTTAAATAATTTTCAAAGAGTTTAAAACACCAGACAAACTTTTATTTTCAATGGTGCAAAGGGTAATGTTAATCATTGAATGGTCTATATTGTCAGGAACCTTAAGGACTGAGTTTCAACTGTCCTGCCACAGGCAGGGACCTCTTCCACTAGACCAGGTTGCTCAAAGCCCCATCCAGCCTGGCCTTGAACATCTCCAGGGATGCCCATTCTCTGAGCAATCTGTTCCAGCGCCTCACCACTCTCATGGCGAAGAAAATGACCAAAGAAAAAGAGGCAGGGAGTAACTAGAAACGCTTCCATCTGGTTCTTTGTCGTTCTTTCTACAGCCCCGGTGCTCCGTGGTCACCTGCCCCATCTCGTGGTGACAGGGGGAATACTGAAAAGATGAACATACGACAACGTGCAAATGCCTAATGACATGGGTAAAAAGCACGTCTGTTAGAAGCAAGCGATAGTGCTTCTCTGCACAGCCACTACCTCCCTCACACCCTCTGAATATCAGAGTACTGCTTACAGAACTTTCATGGACAAAAATAAAGAGGAACTCGTTCAGCAAAGAGCTGCCAGGAATGACTTCTTTGCTGGGCTGATGTTACTCCTGGGCAATGTAAAAAAAACAGCCCCAGACACATTAATCCAAATAAACACAACCATAATTACCTCATCAAAACCAACACACAGTTGGTATAAAAAAATGTAATTCCCAGATGAAAGAAAAATTACTGAATACAGTGTAGCAGCATATGATTAATCCCCACAATTAACAAACCTTTATTGAACATAAACACAATCAAACAAACTCAGTATACAGGTCACCACCATGTTCCTCCATTAGAAATGATGTCCTGAAACCCAGACTTGCAAGAAATTCTTGCTGACAGAGATGGATGCCAAATACCTATGTACCCATCATGCAGAAGGTCCTGATCAAAGGGAATTAACATTTTGCCTTCTGGTGCTACATGTGTATTACAGGAAAAACTGTAAGGGGCATATCTTACCAATTGCCAAAAAAAAAGAGAAGCAGGTTGATCCAATGATTTTATCAAGCCAATTTGAATTCTAATACCAAAAATGATACCTACACTTAAGACTTTGTCATCCACAGCTTAATCCACATGAGACAGATTTACAGAAAAGATTTTGAAGTCTCAATTGAAGATTAAGCCACACTAGGGCATTTAAATATAGCATTATTTATATTTTCCCTGATAAAATTCACATGGCCAAAACCAGAAATAATATGCACCTTTCCAGACTTGTTCCTTCCTCTCCTATATACCCAAATCTAAAAAAACCTTTTATGCCACAGACTTTGGAAATGTGTGGGTACAGGTTACATTTAGAAATCTAGATCTCCATTTTAGCATCTCAGTATCAATAGGAAAGGAAAACATCAATTTTTTAAATTGTATCCGACAAGACTTTGCAAATGGGAGGAGAATTTGTGATATTTACCACCACCAAAGATTAATTCATGTGTTTCATAACTGTTTTTCACTCCCTCCTCCTTCTCTGAGAAATATTTAACATGTAAAGTAGTGTGAGCAAAGGCTAATGCGTGGGCAGCACACAAGAGGCCCAGTGAAAAGAAAGCTCATTTCCGCTCCAGTTCTAAATGTGTTCTTGCATCTCCCCACCTCGGCATGGATCAGTTCTGTGCATGCCTTCTTATATTTTGGCCCCCAACTCCCTCACTCACACCAGTTTTGCCCACTTATATATTCCGACAGTCTCTGCAATGTAGTGAGATCCACAGTATTTCCTTCTGATATTATTTCAATGAGATACCAATTTCTAAGTAGGGGAGATTTTGCAACTGAAATTACTGATTATGATCCCTGTTGCATTGCCCTGCCTGAGATCCCAGTTTTGCACACATCATATTGTATCACTTTGCTACCAAGATATTTAATCTACAAAAATCCATCTGACACAAAGTTTCTATGGAAAGGTAAAGTACTGGTTTGTATTGGTATATGATGATCCTCATGCGGATATGGAAGCAGTGCTGAGAACGTCTAAGATTGCCAACACACCAAGTAAGATGTGCCAAGGTGCAAAGTGAAGTGTTTAGGTGATTTTTTGTTTGCAGAGATTTTTTTGTTAATGGGAATTTCATTTCCCTTTCCTTTTTCTGGGAATATAACTGAGTCTACACTGTAGAAATTGGCAGAAATACAATTTTCATATTAAAAATTCACCAGAGCATTGAAGCTGAGCTCCAGGGAAACATCAGATGTAGCACACACTCGTGTAGGTAACGCTTGCAAAAAAGAAACAAACCCCTACTTTGGTTTAAAAAATCTCAAAGGTAAGGACATTAAGAATTCTGGGTTTATTTATTGCAACACATGTGGTATACCAAATCAAGGGAAAATGCTGCTGTTAATGTGTATTCACAGAAGTTCACCAGTAGAACATGTGGATGCCATGTTCAGCATTCCTTAGGCTGTGAAACCCACAACTGTGTTAAATTCCTGTTTGCAGAAATTTAACTTTTATTTTTCTAAAAGACAGTTGTTACAGATGGAAATACAGTCTTGAAGAAATTAGCAGGATAGTCTTCACAAGTGTAGAAACAGAGTGAAACAAGAGAGAGACAGTAACACAACAATTCTCCTTGACAGAAATGTAATAGGCATCATTAGGTTGTCAGAATTATTTCCTCTGTGATCATTCTGGCAAAAAAACTCGTAGTAAACAGATCTTTTCACATGTCAAACCTTCCTCCTTTGCACTTGAATGAGTACGCTGCAGTGTTTCACTGATCCACTTACTTCAGTACAATCTACAGCTTTTGAGAAATGGCTTCTGAATTTGAAATTTTCAATTATTTAAAAAAAACCCCAATTATGTAA